AGCCCTGCTCCACCAGAGGAGACGCTTCCAACACAGCTGTTAGCAATGCAGGAGATCCCTGGAGATCCATCTTCTCGGGTGTCTGATTTATGGACGGACCTTCTGTTGGGCAGGGCGCCAAGTTGGCCCTGGGTGAGATGGAGAAGCTGGGTTGTTGATGGCTGGTTTGGTCCTCCAGCTATCAATCTCCCGGATTAATTGTCCCCTCCGTTCCGCCCAGGAGTTGGAACGTGCGTTCCTCTCCGAGAAGCAGAACCTTACAACCAACTTGCCAAGAGAAAAGAAATGAGGAAGGCCAACGATGACGTTGGGTCCGGTTGACCAACGTGGGGATGGACCATCCGCCACATTGGGGAGGGCGCCTGGGTCCGATCTAGGTGCGCCAGAACGTTGGAGATGCAGCGTTCGACGACTGAAAACAGCCGTCAAGGAAGGCTCACGCCGAAAGCTGGATTGGGTCAGGAGTTAAAGTAGAAAGATAGAAACCAGGAGACTGGGAATTCTAGTCCCGAATTAGACAGGAAAACCGGCTGGGCGATGTTCGGCCAATCACCAGGAGAGAATGAATCCTAGTCCCTCTTTGGCATAAAATTGGGCTCGCCGGGAGACTGGAAGGTCTAGTCCCACCTTAGACGTGAAAGCTGGCTGAGTGACTTTGGGCCAGTCACTGGGAGACTGGGAATTCTAGTCCTGCCTTAAGCATGAAAGCAATTGGATGACTTTAGGTCAATCACCGGGAGTTGGTGAGTTCTAATCCTGCCTTAGAGGTAAAAGTTGACGGGGTGACTTTGGGCGGATCACCGGGAGACTGGGAGTTCTAGTCCTGCCTTAGACAGTCGTTAAGTGAGGGCTGCGTGGATAGGGAGCTAGACAGAGTTGCACGGAAGGTCTTACAGGGGGGAGGCAGCGTTCTGTTCCCCAGCATTTGGGGTGCTCACTTGCTCCCCCCCCCAGCCCGTTGCACATCTGAGCCACCCCTCTTGGCAGATCAGAATCAGAAGAGAGTTGGAAGGGACCCTGGAGGTCATCTAGTCCAGCCCCCTGCTCAAGCAGGAGCCCCTGACAGAATCATAGAATGGCAGGGCTGGAAGGGACCCTGGAGGTCATCTAGTCCAGCCCCCTTCTCAAGCAGGAGACCCTGACAGAATCATAGAATGGCAGGGTTGGAAGGGACCCTGGAGGTCATCTAGTCCAACCCCCCCACTCAAGCAGAATTTCCTTACAGAATCATAGGATAGAGCTGGAAGGGTCCTCGGAGGTCATCTAGTCCAGCCCCCTGCTCAAGCAGGAGCCCCTGACAGAATCATAGAATGGCAGGGTTGGAAGGGACCTTGGAGGTCATCTAGTCCAACCCCCTGCTCAAGCAGGAGACCCTGACAGAATCCTAGAATAACAGAACTGGAAGGGACCCTGGAGGTCATGTAGTCCAGCCCACCCCCCCGCCCCCGCTCAAGCAGAATTTCCTTACAGAATCATAGAATGGCAGGGCTGGAAGGGACCCTGGAGGTCATCTAGTCCAGCCCCCCCCCGTTCAAGCAGAATTTCCTTACAGAATCATAGAAGGATAGAGCTGGAAGGGTCCTTGGAGGTCACCTAGTCCAGCCCCCTGCTCAAGCAGGAGCCCCTGACGGAATCATAGAATGGCAGGGTTGGAAGGGACCTTGGAGACCATCTAGTCCAACCCCCTGCTCGAGCAGGAGCCCCTGATGGAATCATAGAATGGCAGGGTTGGAAGGGACCTCGGAGGTCATCTAGTCCAGCCCCCCGCTCAAGCAGGAGCCCCTGACGGAATCGTAGAATGGCAGGGTTGGAAGGGACCTGGGAGGTCATCTAGTCCAACCCCCTAGTGGCCGTCCGGTCCCTTCTTAACAACGTCTAGGGAGGAAGCCCCTCAAGAGGTGGGGAGTGTCTCCCCCCCCCGCCTCCGGCTTCCCAGACTCCTGAGGTCCAGATTTGGGGTGCCAGACAGCAGCCCCCAAATCCTGTGTGTGTGTGTGTGTGTGTGGGTGTGTGTGTGTGTGTGTGTGTAAAATCCTTCTGCTCTGACAGCCTCCCCCTCCCTCCTATCGCCTGGCGAAGGGGTGAGGACTTGAGATGGCCCCACAGGCGCTCCGGGCATAGCAAGGGACGAATCCCCATTCTTGTAAAGATCGTGGGAGCAACCTGCCCCCGGTTCCCCACCCCCGCCCCCCCTTTCCTCCTTTTCTTTCCGAACTGGCTAACAGATGCAAATGAGCTGTTGCACCCCCCCCTTGAGCCCCCCCCCAATGCACCCCCTCCCCGACCCCCAGTCCTCCTTTTGCAGAGCCTGGGAGAGTTTTCACAAAAGAGAGGTTTTTTTTTTTTTTTTTGCAAAGGGACTGGAGCAGATGGTGCATTGTCTTTACAGATGGGAGCAGGGGGGGGACGATGGGAGGGGGTGTCCCTGGGAAGATTCCAGCACTGGGGGGGGGAGTGAGTTGGGGTCAGAGGTCAGGGGGAGACAAAGCCGGCTGCGTGAATGGTGAAAGCTCTCGTTCCCACGGTGGGAGCCGTTCCCCCCCTTTCTCTTTTGGGGGTGAGGGGGGGGCTGCTTGGCCAGCAGGGTCTATTGGAGGCACCCCCCCTCCCCCCCATAGCTTGAATGCAAAGCTAGAAGGGTGGGCTGGGGTCTCCTTCCCCTCCGAAGGGATGTTTTCCAAACTTCCCCTTGTTTTTTTTTTTTTTTGCCAAGAGAAAAACGTGGGAGGTTTTCCTAAAAAAGGGGGGGGTGTTGGGGGGAATCAGGAAAGGGGGGAAAAAAACTCCCCCCCCCCAGGAAAGGGGGGCATTTGAGAAAGACCCAGCCCCTCCCAAAGACATTTGGGCAATGGAGACGATGTTTCAACACCTCGACGATGTTTCAACACCTCGACGTAGGGCCCGGACGGAGCCCCAAATTTCAGCCACTAGGCGAGACGGTCGCGAAAAAGAATGCCCGGCCCCGTTTTACGACCCTTCTCGCCCCCGTTGTTCCCCGCGCCGGTTCTTAAGTGAGTCCCACAGTCATTAGGTGAACCTGGCTATTGGCTTTAGCGCAGTGGTTCTCAACCTTTTTAATGCCGTGACCCCCAACCGGTCCTAAGTCGAGGACTACTCAACCGGTCGTAAGTCAAGGACTACTCAACCGGTGCAGCACCGTTTGCAGACTGGGACTTTTGGCGGGCTCAGCAGGGCAGAGACAGCCTGGACAATTCCTATTGGCTTTGGAAAGCCAATAGAATTAGACTCTATTCAAGAGAGTCTATTTGATTGGCTTTCCAAAGCCAATAGAATAAAAGGGAGGAGCACAGCTAAGGAAAAGGGGAAAAAAAATGGCGGACAGCCTTGTTTGGCGACCCCCGTGAAATGGTCGTTCGACCCCAAATGGGGTCCCCACCCACAGGTGGAGAACCGCTGGTTTAGCGTCTCGGAATCCTATTGGCTTTAGCGTCTCGGAACGGCCGTCATAAGTAGGAAGCGATTGCCGAGCGTCTGCATTTTGATCATTTCGTAAGCAAAAAAAGAAAGGAAGGAAGGAAAGAAGGGAAGAAAGAAATCAGGCAGGAAGGAAAGAGAAAGAAAAGAAGGAAAGAAAGAAGGGAGGAGAGAGAGAACGAAAAAGAGAGAAGGAAAACAAGAGAAACACAGAAAGAAAGAAAAAAGAAGAGAAAGTTAGAAAGAAGTGAGAGAAAAAGAAAGAACCAGAGAAAGAAAGAAAAACAGAAAAATAGAGTGAGAAAGAAAGAGAAAGAAAGGAAGAGCGAGAGCAAGGAAGGAAGGAAGGAAAGATAGAAAAAAGCAGGAAAGAAAAGGAAAGAAAGAAAAAGAAGGAAGGAAGAAAAGAAAAGAAAAAAGGAAGGAAAGAAAAAGAAAAATCAGGCAGGAAGGAAAGATAAAGAAAAGAAGGAAAGAAGGAAGGAGAAAGAAAAAGAGAAAGGAAAAGAGAGAAGGAAACCGAGAGAAACAGAAAGAAAGAGAAAAAGAAGAGAAAGAAAGAAAGAAGAGAAAGGGAGAAAAAGAAAAAGAAAGAACCTGAGAAAGAAAAAAAAACAGAAAAATAGAGTGAAAGAAAGAAAGAGAGAGAAAGACAGGAAGGAAAAAGTGAGAGCAAGGAAGGAAGGAAAGAAAGAAAGAAAGCAGGAAAGAGAAAGAAAAGGAAGGAAAGAAGGAAAGAAAGAAAAAAGAAAGAAGAAGAAAGAGAAAGGGAGAAAGAAAGGAAAGAAGGAAGGAGAAATAAATAGAGAAATAGAAAGAAAGGAAAAGAATGAGAAAGGGAGAGACAGACAAAGATAAGAAAGAATGAAAGAAAGAAAGAAAAAGAGGAAGAAAAAAAGTAAAAAGTAAAATACAGAAAGAGAGGGAAGGAAGGAAGGAAAGAAAGGAAGGAAGGAAAGAAGAAAGGAAGGAAGAGCGAGAGCAAGGAAGGAAGGAAAGAAAGATAGAAAGAAAGCAGGAAAGATAAAGAAAAGGAAAGAAAAAGAAAGAAAGAAAGGGAGAAAGAAAGGAAAGAAGTAAGGAGAAATAAATAGAGAAATAGAAAGAAAAAATGAGAAAGGGAGAGACAAAAGATAAGAATGAAAGAAAGAAAGAAAAAGAGGAAGAAAAAAGGAAAAAGTAAAACACAGAAAGAGAGAGAGAAGGAAGGAAGGAAAGAAAGAAGGAAGGAAAGGAAGGAAGGAAGGAAGGAAGGAAGGAAGGAAGGAAGGAAGGAAGGAAGGAAGGAAGGAAGGACGGTAGGACGGTCCTAGACCTTGGAAAAAAACTTTGTTTTCCCCCATCCTTTCCTTTACACAAACACACCCGCAAGCACACACACACAAGCACAAGCACACAGCTCCAGCCCTGGGATCTCTGGGTGGTCTCCCATCCAATCCATACTAAGCCTTGAACCTTCTCAGCCCTCTAGAGACCAGCCGAGAAATGCCTTCCACCTCCTGGCATTTACCCTCCTTCGTCTCTCTCGTTCTCTCGCTCACCCTTCGCTCTTTTTCCCCGTGCAGATACCGAACCCCTTCGGAGCTACACAACGACAACTTCTCCCTCTCCACCATTGCCGAGGGATCGCACCCAAATGTAAGGAAATTTTGCGACACCCCGTGTAAGCACTCCCCCCACGCCCGTGCATTGGCTTACTATGATAACATTATATGTCAGGTAACGTGTCTTCTTGTCCTCTCCCGTCCTTTGGCATGCCTCCCGCCGTCTCCCCCCACCCCCTCCGCCTCCCCCCATCCCGTCTCCGCTGTCCCAAGCATGCTTGGCTTGGTTGCTGCTGCTCCCGGACCACCCCTGGGAGGCTGCACCCCCGGGCGGTCCCATCCGGGTTGCCAATGTCCGAACCTGGTCCAAAAAAAGTCGAGAAGGCTGCGGTACGATGAGAAGGCCGGCTGGAGCCTTTGTTGGTCGTCGGATTGATTTGATTCGGAGGCCACTGGAATCTTAGCGGTCCGGGAGGGCTCGCAAAGTGCAAACGAACAACTCGACAGGCTGACAGTGAGACAGGGACGAGAAACGGCAAAAACGGGGCGAGGACGACTGGCGGGAGGGGTGGGTGGGTCCCCCAGCCGGGCCCGTTTGCCTGCAGACGTTTCTTGACCCAACTAGATAACAGTGTCAGGATTAGAAGGGAGAGGGGTTCGTGGGGAGGAGGGGGAGGGGGAGGAGGAAGAAGAAGAAGAAGAAGAAGAGGAAGAGGAAGAAGAAGAGGAAGAGGAAGAGGAAGAAGAAGAAGAGGAAGAGGAAGAGGAAGAGGAAGAAGAAGAAGAAGAAGAAGAAGAAGAAGAAGAAGAAGAGGAAGAGGAAGAGGAAGAGGAAGAAGAGGAAGAGGAAGAGGAAGAGGAAGAGGAAGAAGAAGAAAGAAGAAGAAGAAGAAGAAGAAGAAGAAGAAGAAGAAGAAGAAGAAGAAGAAGAAGAAGAAGAAGAAGAAGAAGAAGAAGAAGAAGAAGACAACACCTGGGAAGATGGATGGAGGTTTAGCTCCAGAGTTATCAAGGCGGAGAAGATGGAAGGAAGGAAGGAAGGAAGGAAGGAAGGAAGGAAGGAAGGAAGGAAGGAAGGAGGAGGAGGAGGTGGAGGAGGAGGAAGAAGAAGAAAAAGACTATGGGGTCCTTGGTGCTCTCTGAGTTTGGTGGTTTTCTTGCAGATGTTTCAAGACCTATCCAGGGAACATCATCAGTGCTAGAAGTGAGGGGGGGGTTGTGGAGGAGGAGGAAGAGGAGGATAACGACGACAACGACAACTGTGGGGTCTTTGGTGCTCTCTGAGCTGGGTTGTTTACCTGCAGACATTTCATGACCCAACTAGATAACAGCATCCGTTTTAGAAGGGCTCGTGGAGGAGGAGGAGGAGGGGACAAGGGAGGAGGAGGACTGTAGGGTCCTTGGTGCTCTCTGAACTGGGTGGTTTTCTTGCAGACATTTCATGACCCAATTAGGTAACATTATCAGTGCTAGAAGGGATTGCATATAAATAGACAACGAACCCCCATCCCTTCTAGCACTGATGCTGTTCCCTAGTTGGGTCATGAAGCGTCTGCAAGAAAACCACCCAGCTCAGAGAGCACCCAGGTCGTCGTCGTCCTCCTCCTCCTCCTCTCTAGCATTGATGCTGTTACCTAGTTGGGTCACGAGACGTCTGCAAGGAAACCACCCAGCTCAGAGAGCACCAAGGACCTCACAGTCCTTCCTTCCTTCCTTCCTTCCTTCCTTCCTTCCTTCCTTCCTTCTTTTCTCCTCTTCCTCCCCTCTGCAAGCCCCCCCTCCCTTCTAGCACTGATGATGTTACCTAGTTGGGTCACGAAGCGTCTGCAAGGAAACCACCCAGCTCAGAGAGCACCAAGGACCACATCATCCATCCATCCATCCTTCCTTCCTTCCTTCCTTCCTTCCTTCCTTCCTTCCTTCCTTCCTTCCTTCCTTCCTTCCTTCTCTTCCCCCTCCTCCTCCCTTCTGCCACTGATGCTGTTACCTAATTGGGTCAAGAAACGTCTGCAAGGAACCCATCAAGCTCAGAGATCACCGAGGACCCCACAGTCCTTTTCCTCCTCCTCCTCCTCCTCCTCCTCCTCCTCCCCCCCCCCTACCACCGATTAGGTTCTCATGAAACGCCCGCAAGAAAACCAACAACTCAAGACCCCTCCGTTCCACCCGGAGCTACCAATATTCCCTTCTATCAATAAAGACACCCACCCAGGCGTGTTGAAGAACTATCCAACGGCCTGGGGGGCGTCATTTGGATCTTGGGGAGCACCCCATTCCAGAGGGCAATCACCTCAAAAAAAAAATATCCAGAGTACATTCAATGGCGGTATCTCAGCCATCGGGTTTTTTTTTTTTGGACCAAGCTCTACGACAGCCCTGGTAGGTTGGCTGGCTGGGTCGGAGGTCCCATCCCCACCAGCTTATGGGTCCCCGCATGACGTCGGCCCGCGAGCAACGCAGCAACGGTCTCCCACCCTTGTGTGTTTCCCCCGATGCACCCCTGGTCACAAGTGGCCCTTCAGAGCTTGTTGAAGGGGGTTGGCAGCGCAACGCCATCTGCCGGCACGCCCTATCGCTCCCGTCCGCTGGATGTGAAGGTGTCCTTCCTTTGTCCCCCAATTTTCCCACGCTCCTCGTCTGCTCTTAGCGGAACGAGTGAGCCCCCCTCTTTCTCAGCCGTTCTTCGGCTCACCTTGCTCTTCTCCTCGCTCTTCTTCCTGTGCTGGAGATCTTTCCCCCTTCCGTTGGACCTTAATACCAGTTGCACCCTATGTTCAGTTTGTAGCACCCTCTTTCTTTAAGGGTGTTTAGGAGAGGAAGCTGGGCCCGCCCAAAAACAGCATCCCACCAAATTTCGGCCGAGCTCACATGAAGCCTGCTTTAGGATTCTCTCTCCGAGGGCAATCCTCGACTGCCTCGGCAATTGTACCGGCTGAATTTCTGCCGAGCTCACAGGAAGCTTACGTAGGATTCTCGCGTCGAGGGCAATCCTCGACTGCCTCGGCAATTGCACCGGCTGAATTTCGGCCGAGCTCACAGGAAGCTTGCGTAGGATTCTCTCTCTGAGGGGAATCCTCGACTGCCTTGGCAATTGCACCGGGTGAATTTTCTGCCGAGCTCACAGGAAGCTTGCGTAGGATTCTCTCTCCGAGGGCAATCCTCAACTGCCTCGGCAATTGCACCGGGTGAATTTTCTGCCGAGCTCACAGGAAGCTTGCATAGGATTCTCTCTCTGAGGGCAATCCTCGACCGCCTCGGTGAATTTTCTGCCGAGCTCACAGGAAGCTTGCGTAGGATTCTCGCGTCGAGGGCAATCCTCGACTGCCTCGGCAATTGCCGCGGTTGAATTCCTCTGGCAGCTGCAGAGCTTCCTGTCTTAGGGATCCCGCCTTAGATTGAGGGATATGATCAATCCTAGGGGCTGTTTGGTGTCGGTCTCCCCCTTCCGGGTAGAATTGTGGTACTGTCCACCTTGAAAGCGAACGCCAAGGGAGGAAAACTGCGGGGTTGACTCTATTTGGGTTCTCCTGCACTTTACCCTAGCTAGGAACTCGCCAAACAGGTGGGACACCCCCTCCTCACCAGTAAGGGTCCCTGATACGAGGGTCTCTCCATAGCCTTCTCTGGGTTTGGCCCCACGTTGCCCATCTCGCCCTCCCCTGCCCCACTAGCTGTTCAAGTATGTAGACCAGTGGTTCTCAACCTTTTTAATGCCACGACCCCCAACCGGTCGTAAGTCGAGGACTACTCAACCGGTCGTAAGTCGAGGACTACTCAACTGGTGCAGCACCATTTGCAGAATGGGACTTTTGGCGGGCTGAGCAGGGCAGAGACAGCCTGGACCATTCCTATTGGCTTTGGAAAGCCAATAGAATTAGACTCTATTCAAGAGAGTCTATTTGATTGGCTTTCAAAAGCCAATACAATAAAAGGGAGTAGCACAGCTAAGGAAAAGGGGAAAAAAAATGGCGGACTGCGTTGTTTGGCGACCCCCGTGAAATGATCGTTCGACCCCAAATGGGGTCCCGACCCACAAGTTGAGAACCACTGATGTAGACCTTGGAATAGGAAGTGGGGTTCTCGCTCCCCCCGTCCGAGAGGTGGACTTTGCCCCCCCAGAATGACCAGCAAAGGCCGCACTGGGTGGGGGATTCTGGGAACTGAATTCTCAACATGTGAAGGACACGTGGTTTCGAGAGAACTTCCACCAGGAACATCCCCAGGGCCTCCTGACCAGCGCTGGTGGTGGTCAATGCTTGGATGGAGGCTACTGGTCTCCTACTCTCTACCTCTAAATCAGTGGTTCTCAACCTTTTTAATGCCGCGACCCCCAACCGGTCGTAAGTCGAGGACTACTCAACCAGTCGTATGTCGAGGACTACTCAACTGGTGCAGCACCGTTTGCAGAGTGGGACTTTTGGCGGGCTCAGCAGGGCAGAGACAGCCTGGACAATTTCTATGGGCTTTGGAAAGCCAATAGAATGAGACTCTATTCAAGAGAGTCTCTTCGATTGGCTTTCGAAAGCCAATAGAACAAAAGGGAGGAGCACCGCTAAGGAAAAGGGGGGAAAAAATGGCGGACTGCGTTGTTTGGCGACCCCCGTGAAATGGTCGTTCGACCCCAAATGGGGTCCCGACCCACAGGTTGAGAACCACTGCCCTAAATCGTGGGGGGAGGTAGTTTGGGAGAGCCTGGCCACCCCTCTTCAAGTCTACCCACCCCTCTTTTTCCCTTGGCACTGCCGTTGACGTGAACCCCTTCTCCTGGGCTCCATCTGTCTCCGTCTCCCCCCCCCCGTCTGCTTGTCTTCCGTCCTCCATCCGAGTTTGAGCTTGTCCGTCGTGGTGGGTGGCTGGGTGGTGATGGTGGTCCCCCACTGTGTCCATTGGGAACTTGGGAGTGGGTGCAGGAGGGTGAGGGCGGGTATTGGCTGCAGGAGGAGAGGGAAAGAGGGGAGAAGAGAGGGAAGGGAGGAGGAAAAAAAAGAAGAGGACGGAAGGGGAGAGGAGAGGGAAGAGGAGAAGAACTGAAGAGAGGAGAGGGGAAAGAAATGGAGAAGAGGAAAAAAAAGAGGATGGAAGGGGAGAGGAGGAGAAAAGAGGAGAGGCGAGGAGAACAGAAGAAAGAGGGGAGGGGAGGAGAGAAAAGGAGAGGAGAGGGAAGTGGAGTGGAAG